TTGGGGACGAGCCGACGGACGCGGGAGTAGAAGTGAGGCTTGACTCTCAAGTCATACCTAAGAAGGGTAGTTTCAAGTACCTTGGGTCAGTTATTTAGGGGATTGGGGAGATCGACAAGGATGTCACACACCATATAGGGGTGGGGTGGATGAAGTGGAAGTTAGCGACGGGAGTCCTGTGTGACAAGAAAGTACCACTGTTACTAAAAGGTAAGTTTTATAGAGCAGTAGTTAGACCTGCCATGTTGTACGGTACCGAGTGTTGGCCGGTTAAAAACTTACACATCCAGAAGATACAAGTAGCAGAGATGAGGATGTTGAGGTGGATGTGCGGGCATACAAGGATGGATAAGATTAGGAATGAAGATATTCGAGAGAGGGTGGGCGTGGCCCCCATAGAGGACAAGATGTGGGAAGCACGACTTAGATGGTTTGGGCACATTCAGAGGAGGAGCACTGATGCACCTGTGAGGAGGTGTGAGCGATTGGCGGTGTTGGGTACGAGAAGAGGTAGAGGGAGACCTAAAAAGTATTGGGGAGAGGTGATCAAGCGGGACATGGCGCGACTTAGGATTACTGAGGACATGGCCCTAGACAGGGAATTGTGGAGGTCGAACATTAAGGTTGAAGGTTAGGGGGAAGTTGTGAATATCTATACAGCGCACTAGAGTGAGACTAGCCCGTTAGGAGTTANGATGCACCTGTGAGGAGGTGTGAGCGATTGGCGGTGGTGGGTACGAGAAGAGGTAGAGGGAGACCTAAAAAGTATTGGGGAGAGGTGATCAAGCGGGACATGGCGCGACTTAGGATTACTGAGGACATGGCCCTAGACAGGGAATTGTGGAGGTCGAACATTAAGGTTGAAGGTTAGGGGGAAGTTGTGAATATTTATACAGCGTACTAGAATGAGCCTAACCAGTTAGGAGTTAGGCTTAGGATGCTACATGTCAGCTACTGATGCAGGGCTTTATGCGCTGGGTATTAGTTTACCTTCCATCTCACTCGTATTTACTATATTCTCTTATATTGCTGTTATTTTGCTATTTTAGGTTCCTTTATGTTATGTTATGTATTTTATGTTATTTTATTATGAGTCTATCGATGGTACTAATATATCTGTCACTTGATGCTTTCTTGAGCTGAGGGTCTCCTGGAAACAGCCTCTCTGCCCCTCGGGGTAGGGGTAAGGTCTGCGTACATACTACCCTCCCTAGACCCCACTTGTGGGATTATACTGGGTTGTTGTTGTTGTTGTTGTTGTTGTTGTTATTGTTGTCTTTAGCCGGTGGAACTTTATTTGAATATGACTCCATTTTGAGTTTGTCGATATCTCTAGCTACAAATTTTAAATTTTGAAAACTCTATATATACAATTTTTTTGGTTCATTAAATCATTAAATATTGATTTAGTTGATTGTTATTATATAACATTGCATATATTGTCTTAAAATTGCCAAGTAATTTTTTCTCGATACTATACTTGGCTTAACTTCAATGGAAACTACTCAAATTGCATTTAAATTCAAATTTTAATATCATAGCAGTTTATTAGTAATAGTGATTTTTTTAAAAAGACACACAATGTAAATTAAAAAAACATCTAAAATATCCTTATCTTATAATCTATGTATTTTAGTTGAAAAAATTATTTGAAATCGATGAGATCAGGTTCCAAATTTTTTATACTCAATAAAGATGAAATAGAAGAAGAAATGCGTTGTCATCTCTTATTTCTGATTTTTAGATTTTTCATATATATTTTTCTATATTTATTTTTGTTTTATCTTATTTTTTATTTCTTTCTCTCTTTTGTTACAAAAAATTAATTTAATCACTATAAAAGGATGAGTTTTAATTGAAATATTCTACATACGAACTTTATTTATATTTTTAGTTCTTGGTTGAAATTCTTTCATATTTTTCTTTTGGCTTTATCTAATCAACCTAAATAGGTACTCACCCAACCACTTAAATTAAAATACTGAATGATGTGTATATATATATATATGTATATATATTATATATGTATATTAGCTATAAAAAGTAAACAATTAATTTGACCAGATATTTATGTAAATATTCCGTAAGATTTCGGTTTCTTGATTTTATCCATAATATGACTTCTATTATAATACTTTTAAACGCTCTACTAAAATTCAAAAATATCTTATCTTTTTATTTTTAAAATTACATTGTATTTTTAAAAAAAACCTTATTTCGAAATAATTTGTTTATATTTTTTATTTAAAAATATCATGTCATACCAATTTTTTTTAAAAAATATATATTTTTTGTTACACTTGAAAATTGCTATAGAAACTATTCAATTGGAAACCAATATCCCTCTCGTTGGATTTGAGGGAAAAAACTCTTTTACATAATCTACTGATTCAAAACTAATATTCTTCAACGAAAAAATATTAGACCCTTGGAGTGTTGGCTTGCTTATACCCTTCAACTTCTAGAAGGTGCTAAATTCAAGTTAGTAATAGCAATTGTATAACCAAAGTTTTGTTATTTGTTTGATGTTCATTTATACAAATCGACTCTTCAAATAAACATTCTTCAAAAAGAAAGAAAAAATAACTGTTTTGAATATTGACGGATTTTTGTGATGTTTCTTTCTTCAGCATGTTGGTTTACTTCATTATATATGTAAGTAAATTTTTATTCGATTTTTAAACTTTTTTTGTTTATCTGGATAAACATAGACGTGTGCCCTATATATTACATTTATTTTAAAAGAAATTCGCTTTATTCTATCTAACTATAGTGTTTTAAAGTACTATAATTTTATGATTTTAAATGTGAAAGGATTTTATAGTTATATGCAATAGTTTTTTTCTTTTCTTTTTTGCCAGAGGCGAAGTAGTATTTAAATAATTAGAAAAGATAACAAAAGTTCATAACATGATTGTATATGATTGTTAACCTAATTAAGTATGATATCATGATAACAAAAGATAAAATTCTTTAGTATTTTAATTTAGATTTAAAAACTTTATCTATAAAGTTAAAATTATACCTTAATTCAAATTCAGTTTATATTCAGTATAATATAGAATAAAGTTACCATATACTATTGGCGTTTATTAGCTTGCCACTTGGCTTAACCACAATGCCAATTATATATGGTAACTTTATTTCTTTAATATATATATATATATATAGAGAGAGAGAGAGAGAGAGAGATATTTAGGATATTAATATATAAGTTTTTCTTCTTATTTTTAGGATAAATTTCTAATATATAATGACTTTAGCGGTGAATGCTTTTATATTTGTTGAGTGAATTTTAATATATTTAACTTATATTAAAAGAATTAAGTACTTTTTAATTTTATTTTCATATTTTATTTAAATAAAATAAAAAGATTTAATTATTGCCTATAATAACAAATTTTTGAGATTATTTATTTTTTTATAATATTAACTATTAAGTAAATTTATTCATGTCCTTATTCGTAATTTGATACTTAAAAGCATTTTCTTAAAAGCTAGGCTAAACACAAATTATTGCTCAAAAGTGCTTTTCAGAGTGATTAGCCAAGCACAAACTGTTTCTCTTCAAAATTATTTTTTTCAAAAGCACTTTTTTAAAAAAAAACACATCTCAAAATAAGCCGATTTCTCTAGCCTGGCCAAACAGGCTATAAAACTTAGTCAAGAGAGTAATTATTTCCCTCGTGTAGCAAAGGGCTTTTTGGTCACTAAGCAAACTGGTCATCGAACTGTCATTCAATCAGCTGAGTCAGTCATGGAAATTAAAGAAAACAACTACTTCCTTTTTATTTATATACAACCAACACACATATTTTCTCTTTATTTACCTTCCTTTCATTTCATTTCCATAAAAGCTCAAAACAGTATTCACCCCTCTGCTCTCCTTCTCTCTCCCTCTCTGGCCAATAAAAACCAAATACTATATGCATAAGAATTTAAGATATAGAGAAGTGTTTAGTCGTTGTTTCCCCTAATATAGCAAAAAAAAAAAAAAAGAAGTACCAATTGTTGATCATTTTCAGAAAAACAAAGCTTACTAGCCTTCCAATATTTTCTAGTATTGTTCAAACAAAGAAAACTCCATGTGAACACTAGTCTTCCCACTCTCCCATCAATCTCATCATCATCATCATCCTCAAACTATATATCTTCAATTCTTTTTCTACTTCTAGTAGTGCACTTCTTTCTTCTTCTTTTTCTGTGTATTAGAATTTGTGACAGCAGTAATTCGTCACAAGTCTTGACTTTTAATTTCTTATTCAGTGAGAAAATTAGGCATAGAAAAACATCTAACCCATGGAGAGTTCCAACCTCCACATCAACATCCACCAAAACAATAACCACGACAACAACAATAATAATGTTAATGTTGGAAGTACTACTATTTCTTCTTCTTCTTCAACGGCGTCTACCTCAAGCAGATACGAGAATCAGAAGCGAAGAGATTGGAATACTTTCGGACAGTACTTAAAAAATCACAGGCCTCCACTCACGCTCTCTCGCTGCAGTGGTGCTCACGTCCTAGAATTCCTTCGTTACCTTGATCAATTCGGCAAAACTAAGGTTCATGTTCCGGTAGGAATGTATTCTCTTGTCTGTATAAATATTTCTTTTTTTATTGAAAATGGCAGCTTTTGTGCACAAAACATTTTGCGTTCACGCATGATCCGTGAAGGGTCACACCTAAGAGATGTGATGTAGTCAATCTACCCTAATATGGCTGACTTCACGGCTTGGAACCCGTTAGTAGGCGCTGCCGAAAGATAAGGCTAGTTAAGCCATTGCCTTAGGGCCCAATTACTAAAGGCCCCAAAAATATTATACTCTATTATTATATATAATATAATATATACTAACTTTTATAATAAGTACTAAAAGGATTTCTTGAAGTTTAATATTTTTTAATTTGGTTGAGGTTGTATAGATGAGTGAGTCAATAATGGAAAAAAATAAATAAATTCTCTCATTAGGTATATTTAACTTCTTCAATTTCAAATTTTTTTAACGCTTCACTTTCTAATCTCGGCTCAATTTTTCCAAATTAGCTATTTTGTTTTGTCATGTTTGATTGATCCACAGATCAAAAGGCAAGTTCTTTTGTGTCTCATAGTTGTATGAAGTATATCAAATATGTTTATAAGGACTCTTAATATAGTTTGGCTTCCATTAACACCGACGAGCCGCCACCTATAGGTCACATATTGTTTAAATATTTTTTTTAATAAATAAAATGGTTGTCCGGTGCACAAAATATTCTGCACGTAGGGTGCGGAGAAGGACTTCATCCTAAGGAGTGTAATATAGGCAGTCTATTCCGATGTAAGCATTGGTGGCTTGAACCCTAGGTCACACGGTGTATAAATATTTTTTTTATCAATTAAAAAAGGCTAATTGTCATTTTGACAGATGTGTCCCTTTTATGGTCACCCAAATCCTCCAGCACCATGTCCGTGCCCGGTCAAACAAGCTTGGGGGAGCCTTGACGCACTTGTTGGTCGTCTTAGAGCTGCTTTTGAAGAAAATGGTGGAAAACCTGAGACGAATCCTTTTGGTGCTCGAGCTGTTAGGCTTTACCTACGTGAGGTTCGTGATTTGCAATCCAAAGCAAGGGGAGTTAGTTATGATAAGAAGAAGAAAAAAAAGCGGAAACTCTCTCCGCTACCGCAACAGTTGCCGGATACACACTCAGTTGACGGTTAACGTAAGGCTTTTACCAGCATTTAAATGGAGTTTCTCTTTTTACTTCTGCTAGCCACATTCTATAACGAACCAAAGCATAGATTTTGGGTTGTACGGTTTTCATCTTTTCTTGTAGATGCGAGAGTTAGTTACTTCGAGGGGAGCTTTTGAACAATAGTAAATTCATTGCAGTGAGACCTATAAATCAAGAGTTCAAGCCATAAAATCAGCCGCTGATATTTGTATTAGTGTAGGCTGCTTAAATCACGTCCCTTGGGACATGCTCTCCCGTTGCATTAGTGCGCACGTCCTAGATTTCCTTCATTGCCAAGTTAAGTTGAATATTTTTTTTGAAAATTGATGAAGTTGTATTTGGACCTGAGTTTAATTTTAACAAAAAAGTTGAAGTTGGATTGATTTCCTCCCTTAATTAATCCGGGCTGACATATATATATTATGCTGTAGAAGCGCTTTGAGATTGCTCTAATTACTTGGTTTAAAGAGATAAGCATAGGTTTTCTCTCTTTAGCCTGCGGACGGTCTATGGGAAACAATATCTCTATCCTTACAAAATAGGGGGTAAGGTCTGCATGCACACTGCTTTTTCTAGATCTTACAGTATGGGATAACACTCGGTATGTTATTGTTGTTTTTCTCTTTAACCTACGCTTGACACTTTTTTACTCTTTTAAAGTTATTTAGTGGGGTATATATGAAGCAAAGTTGTGACCGATAAAGATATATTCCTATAATCACACTACTAATCGTCTCAGGCTATCATAGGATGATTTAATTAATATGTGCTTCAGAAACAATCAAAGGATGGAACCATTGCACGAAGTGGATGTAGAAAATATAGTGATATTATTCCTTGTTGGTGTTAGAAAAATTCATGAGTTACTTGACAAAGGTTGACTTGGGTGTGAAATAACTAACCATATTTGTATTTTGTAGACAATTGTTCAGCTGAAGGTCTTAAAATTGAACCAGTTAAAATGTGACAAAAAGTTACTAGCTACTACTGCTAATAACCAGTCTTCTAACAAGTACTACACATTCTACTTTACGTTGCTCTTAAATTATTTCTTGACCTAATTATCTAGTCTTAGTGTGTATGCCATCTATTCAGCTCACTATCTTTTGGTTCTGTTTTAATCTTCATCTTCAACAACACCACCACACCTAGTTCTCACAGTGCAGTGGAAAATCTGAGGAGGGTAATGTGTACGTAGATTTTGCCCCTAACTTCATCTTTTAAAAGATAAAGGTGCACTACCATTTGAGTTATATGATGATGATCTGCTATACCTTGAGGTCGCGCAAAACCATCGGACAAGCTTGAGCTTCCATTAGTGAAAATTAAAAACCTAACTGTACTGCCTAAGTGTCTATGTCACATTACCTTTCACTTTGATACAAAATCTTAATTTTGCTTAATATGTATGTTAGCCTATACAATTTTATGCCTAAAGCTTTACGTAAAACGCTTAATTATGCATGTCACAGACAGCATCAATAAAAATAGAAATATTCGTAAGTAATACTCGCCATAATTGAAAAAACCACTGGAATTTAAGAAGGGTTTGCTTTTCTGGGTGAGAGTGGCCGCAGAGAAGAGCCTTACGTCCATTTTAAACTCCAAATAAAAGAACTTTTTGTTTATGGATGACTTGAAAACACAAGAATATAATACAGTTACAATGAGAAAGATTAAAGTTCTGAAGTTGTTGAAATCTTGTGAGTATCATTTTTTTTTTCAACACTTGATCTTATTCTTACACATGAAATCTGTACATTGCAATAAACCATAATCCTCTGTTATGCGAAATTTATTAAGGGATAAAAGGCTCCTGCAAAGAAGATTTTTAATCCGAAATTTTTTATTAAGGACAGAGAGATTTTAATCATCTCACAACACTCCTTGATGGTAATTGACTACTGTTCTTTTTATGGTATATCCGCAACCATTAAAGGGCAACCTTCCGAGAAAGAGCCGGATCACAAAGATCTATTATACGCAGCCTTATCTTATATTTCTACAAGAGATTGTTTCTACAGCTTGAACTCATGACCTCTTGGTCACATTACCACAATTTTATCATTTATATGGTATATCCGCCACCATTACCGACCTGAAAAAGTATTTTCGGAAAATATGTCTGGACAAATTTGCCAACATATTAATCTAGAATAGGTTGGTGCTTACACAAATTTGTCATATACTTTCCCTGATGACTTTATGAGATTGTATATATCATGGCACGACTTCATATCTAACCAAATAATGTTACTCCATATCAAAGAATCAAGAATAGATGGACGAACCTGAATGCTATAAAAAATAAAAAAATAAAAATAAAAATTGGTGATCCTGATACATGGAAAGAGAGAATACGCATAAAACCCAAACCTTGCAACAATATTACCATAATATACTATTCTGCAGTAAGGGACAGAACATCGAAGCTCGCCTTTATAGTAAAAGTTTTCAACTGTTTCTACCTTACAAAGTACTATCCAAATAGTCGGCTAGATTTACTATTTATTTTTTCTAGCCGATATATATATAAATTGTACATTGATTATATATTTGTCGATTATTTTTATGCGAACATATTTTCTTTTCGTTCATTCCAAAAAGAATGATCCCTTTTTAAATTTAAAAATAATTTTTTAGTTTAAAATTCCAATTCTACCCTTAGTAAAAAGCTTTTATAACCATAAAAATATTTTGCATCCCATTTTTTTTTTAGGACCACAAATTCAAGAAACCTTTTTTTTTTTTAAATTTCGTGCACAATCAAATAGGTTCAAATAAATTAAATTAAAACGGAAGGCGTACGTGATTTTTACTGCATGTTTTCTTTATATATGCTAACCCCGAATTGTATATATGACTTTCATGTATATTTTCCGTGCTTTAATTGGTGGAATGATTTACTGGTACGACAATCCTGCATTGTGCGGTCAATTTGATTGGACGTTCCATTTGACAAAAGAGTAGGGACACTGTACCTGATTCCACGTGCATCTCTATCATTCATGTCGGGTACAGTAAATCCGTACCCGATTCTTGTTGAGTGGGCCCCTTCGTATTCGGATTTTTTGCCGATCCAATCCAAGTCATGGACTTTAGGCTCTACTGTCCAAAATAAAAGACCCAACGTGGCTAGTAATTACCTTCTCATTTCTCTTCTGAGTCTGGACCGTACAAATTACAATGTAGAAGAAGTCTCCATAGTATGGTCCACATCAAAAGCAAGCAAAGCCCACTATTCGTTGCCAACCCAAAAGTGGCTCTTAACATAAAACACTGAGATTCGTTGGGGCCCTTCTTCACCTTCCACTTTGATTGGTAATATGTGAAAAAGAGGTGAAATTTTTAGACAAAAAATAAGAATTAACCCAAATGTCTACTCATCCAATTATTTAAATTAAAATAGAAACTTTCAGAAACCATTATGTTTTTAGTGGTTATTAACTAGTTGTATCTATCATTTACTATATTATTTCTTATAACTATATTTTCAAGTTTTTATTTTTAGAATATATTCGATGTATTTAAGCTACTGTATTCATGAATACAATAGCATTTTTCGGCGTGAAAAGAGAATTTTAGCTAGACAGATTATTGTATTTGACTGTATTCACGGCGTGAAATAGGAAATTACAGCTAGACATATTATTGTATTCGACTGTATTCACGGCACAATTCATGATCTATTCAGCTGTTTTTAAACGGAAAGTGAATCAATTAACATAATAGACTTCTAATATAACTCAACAAACTCAATTATAACACACAAAATTTGTATTTCCAATTATAAAAAAAAAATTCAATCGAAAAACACCCTAAAAACATAGCAATCTTCAGAGAAATTATATAATTACATTGAATATATATAGTTAAATACATAAAAATACATTGAATACATGAAGTATAACAGGTCATCTATAATGCAAAAACATATGAATACATACTGCAGATACATTTGAATACATATATAGATCTAAATACATAAAAAAATATTAATTAAAAAAATTATATGAATACATTCATAGAATATAGCGAGACAGTGAATACAATGAAATACATGGAATACAGCGAGATACACTGAAATACAATTAAAAAATAATGAATACAATGAAATATATGAAAATACACTTAAAAAAAGGTAACAGAATCTTTAATTTGCTCAGCCCCAAACTCCGTCGTCTTTGTTCAAGAAGAACTCTAATGTTATCTCGTCGAGAGGACGTACTTCCGACTCGAAACATCATTGTTCCCGTTACTGTGATACTATTCCGGCAATAGAAGGCAAAGTTATGCGAGAACAAACCTAACAGTAACTACTTGTAAATTCAATGGCAATTTCTGTTTAATGCCACTATTTTTCTTCCCCATTAAAAACTTTTACCAAACCCATCAAGCATAACNTTGAAATTTGAAGGAAATGGAGATGGAGATGTTGAACAGAGTATAGAGAGAAGTTTCTTCTTCGACGAGTTTATCTTCTAGGGAGAAAGATTGGCGTTGAGAGAGAGGGTGGAAAAAAATATGAAAGAATGAGAGAGAAAAATAATACAAAGAGTATTTTATGGCTTAAGGACATGAGTTAATCATAAATAAATATTTGGCTATAAAAATCAAAAGATAACTATGAAATATAATTTTTTAAAAGAGTATTTATTTAAAATAAATAAGGTATCAACATTTGCTATAGGAGTTAAAAATTCCAAATTCATGTGAAGGTATTATTTGTGTATAATTTATATATTATATGTGTTGTATAATTATGTATATGGCCGGAAAAATAACAATAAATATGAGCTATTTGTGTAAAGGTCTAGTACAATGTGCTAAAAAATTTAATATTGTTAATTATAAACCGTGAAAACAGTCTCTTGCAGAATTGCAAGGTAAAACTGCATACAATAAACTCTTATGGTCCAGCCTCTCCCCTCCCCGGAACCTCGCGCATAGCAGAAATTTAGTGCACCGAACTATCCTTTTATAGTTAATGATAAAATTTAGATGGCATTGCAGGTTAATTAACTATACTAAAGTGATAATTGTCTATGCAAAAGCATATATGATGCATTTACTGATTTAATATTTGATTTTTCTTTTTGCAAAAATGGTACTACAATGATACATGGTGTATGTTAAATTTTCGATATGTTCAGTGGTCAAAAGAAAACAATTTAATCGGTAATATATTTGAGTTTGAATCTTAATAATATTCGTGAAATTGTTATTTGTGTTTATGATATTTAGGTTTAGTAGAAGAGTCAGATAAGAATTTTGGAAACAGTAATATTTTTGTATTTTGTGTTAGATTTGCAATGATTTACGGTGGTGGTTGTGTGTTATTGTCATACTGCATTCGTAGTACTAAAGTAGTTAAAAGTACATT